TATCAAAAGTATGTCTATGTAATATTAGAATTTTCTGAGACAATGAATTTTGTTTTTCTTTTTTTTTTTCAGTAAGAGGTTTGTTGTCATGATATGTATCGTGTCGCCAAATTCTTATCAATACACAGCCTATTCACAATCTGCCTCTGTCCTTTCTCCACTCCAGGCCCCATCCTGCCCTCCTCTCTTCACGCCATCACAACCCTCCTTCGGCCGGCGCAGAAAGGAAACTTCACAGCTGCGCTCTACACACACTCCCCTACAGCTGTGCTGAACGTACACACCAGCAARCAACAGGTCATTCAACACAGTGTTTATTAAATCGAAGGATTAAAGTCGGGATTTCCACCAGAGAACTTTAACAATGACGATCRAAACAGTTCACGTCAAAAAGAGGACCATCAGCCTAACGACTGTTGGCTCCTGGTCGTTCACAGAGGGACAGAAGAGTAACAGAAGCCATTAAAACCCTCCGTCTTTAAACAGGTGAAGACCTCTGGGTCCAGTTGTCCCCCTCTTACAACAATAGGAACAATCAGGACACTAACGATCTATTGTTAGACCAATGGTCCTCTTTTACATGTGAACAACCAGGTTTGTTTGTCCAACATGTGAGTTTACCATTTAGCAGTGGTGGGCACAGCTAAGTAAAAAGTTTAACTTCTCTAAAGCATAATCTCAACTAAAAACATAGCTTTGCTAACACTAAACATGTAAACACTTTAATGTAGGCTAACACTAAACAGCTAAACAAATGTCTCTCAGTCTGTCTCATGTCTTCATCTCCTTCCAGCTGCAGACTGGTGGGACTGACACAAACCTGTTAGCTTGTTAGTTAGCTGTTAGCAGACTTAAAGTTGACAGAAACTAATGTAGCAGAAGCTGATTGGTTCGCTAACAGTTTTTAACGTTGGTGAATAAGTTAATCCTGTCAGTGAAAAATCAGTTCTGCTGTTATGTGATGAGTGGAACCTGCCCACCACTGTTACTCAGTGTAATAAAATGAAACTTTAGTACCCACTTACGTCTAAAAGGGTTCAAGGCAACTAGTCATAATTTAGCAGACAAGTTTTTTCACTGAATAAGCATCAAGTTGGACAGTTGTAAACTGTTCTGTACACTAAACTGAGCCTGGTTCTGTCTCTTTACAGAGTGGCTGTGGGTCAGCTGACCTGAGTGGTTCTGGTCTACTTCCTGCTTCCGTCCGTCAGCTGGAACAGCCCTCCACCTTGGGCAAGACCGCCCTGATGGATATTAACATGAAAAACTACAGCTACACCTGGAAGAGCTAATGAAAGCTTTACCTGAACTCGCAGAGCTTTGAAGAMACTCTGGAATGGCAGCTTTTATTTTGGAGAGGTAGTGACCTCAGTGTTTTAGCTGTTTTATCTGAAGGTCTCCTGGTTTATTACACTTATCCTGAGTTTGAAATGCTTTGTTTGGCCCTCCATTATCTCTTTTTATTTATTTTTTATTGCAAAGTTAGATATTCTTTGCATATAAGAACTCTGAATGAATGGACACATTTTAGATGGAAAAACTTTAAYGAGTAAATTCTTTTTTAAATGCAATAAAAACCCACCAAGAGTTCAAACTCCCTGTGCTGTTCCTGTCAACGTCTATAAAATGTTTATAACATTTAGTGTCAAAATCAGCCTTTAAAGAGAGAACATCCCAGAAAATCTAAAATATATATATATATAAATAAAAGTTAGAACAAGCAGTCTCTTGAGGGAGTAAATTCAGAGTACCTGTGTGTCAGTTTTATGATAGTTTCAACTGTAATCACTCTGGAGCTTCWTCTTTCCTCACTGGAAATGGCCAATTGTGGCACCAAAGGAGATTTTTGACAGCCGTCCTGAGAAGATCTTTGTGCATTATGACTGCACGTCCTGTGTCCTGTGTACCCGTAGACATTTGTCGCCACCCTTTTGGTTTTTACAGGTAACTACATATATGTATT